CTTTCCTCCTCCTTCCCGCCCCCCGCCTTCTCAAAATGCTGTTCATCCCCTTCTCTTCTTCCCAGCGCCCCACCCTCCGTGACCTCCCCCGGTGACTCGCCTTCGCTCCCCAGCAACATCAGATTACGGGCTTCCCGAAAAAAAAAAAAAAAAAAAAAAAGTTTTTCTACTTCGCAAACTTGACCCTTGCCCCCTCCCTACCCAGTTCATTTAAGCTTAGCCTGTCCTTTCTACTTGCCTTTCTGCTGTCAGTTTTTAAATCCTGACCTGCTTTTCTAGCTGCTCTGTCACTTCAGAAATCGCATCGGCTGCGGGGAAGTCGCCCACCTTCACCTCTTGACCCTGTTCCCAGGCAGCGCCGGAGAACCTGCATTGTCTTTTGATACCTCACGGGAGTTGTTCTGCCCGACACTTGACATACGCCAATTTACTCTTTCACCTTTATCCTCTTTGATCTCAGGTTGCACCTTGGATTTTATGAAACGGTCTTTCCTTCTGCAGTCTCTCAATAACGTACTCTCTGGTGCGCTGCTCTCATTCACCTTTTTTATTCTGTTGGTTGCTGGTGGTTGCTATTCTGATTTAGCTGCACAGAAGACGGGTGTGCTGGTGATTTTAAAATCCACTTGCTTGCCCGACTGCATCCTCAAGGTTCTTCCATTTCATTCTCAGCTATTTTTTTCCTTTTGCCATCCTTAGCCACTGCTTCATTTCTTTCTTTCAGTATAGTCTCCTTGCATAAACTTGGATTTTTCCTCCCTTTAAACTCTTCTGCTTCCTTTATTTCCCATGTTTTTAAACTCCCATAACTTTGCTTATCAATTCCTGAACCACTTCTCCTTATCTCTTTGGGTTTAGACTGCTGCAGTTTACAGAAATTGCTGTTTTAGGTCATACTTGTGAGTTGTATAGTTCATGGTCTATTTTGATCCTAAGTGGTACTGTACATTTTGGTACTGTGTATTTGTCATAATGAATAATTAAAAAAGCAACTCATTTGTTGGGGAAATATTTTCCTACTCCTTGCTGGTTGATCATTGGACCGTGGCCTGCATTGAGAATGTCCAAAGTTCCTGTTAAAAAGTTCATTCTTACTCCAATTTAAGATACTCTTATTAATTCAAATAGCCTGACCTTACTGATATTCTCTGGCAGTATCAGGGGAAATAGTTTTGCATTACAAATTTTTATTTATGGCTTTTAAGTTTTATTTCTTTGTTTTGATTTGCTTACTTTCGTGCTGTTTGGAAAAGATAGCATGGAACCCTTGCTCTCCCATTTGCAGTTTGTGCCTTTTGATGGCATCGTCCCAGCCTTGTAAAACTATTTGGATTGGGAAATCTGATATTGTTGATCATTTTATTGGTCATTCGCCTCTGTCTAACCTCCAGGTCTAATTCTGCCATTTCCTCTCAAAACGAGCACAGGCAGAAATTATTTTCATTCTTCAGAGCCAGATGCTGGGTGGTTTATTGAGCCTTTACTCTTTGGTTGATGAGTGATTTCATTCTGTTGGGACTGCTGCTGGCTATTTCTTCTGCTATAATCTCCCTTCAAGCAGATTTTTGGGAAAGTGGCCTTAAAGACCTTGGTTTGAACCCATTGCGTTGGGGATGTGTGATGAGAGGATCGAGAACATAAGGAATCCAAGGAAGTTTCGCTCCCCTATAGCTGCTTGCCTGGCTTCCCCTTTGGCAGGGCACGTGTGCCACTAACTTCACAAAGGAGCAAGAGAGAAAAGAGTCGCCCAGCTGCTCTGTGGAAGAAGCACCTCTGGCAGACTCGGTCCCGTGCCAAATCCCAAGTAATGCAGCTCCTGTGATGTTTGAAGCGGGATACTGAGATCCACTCCTGGCAGTCAGAGAAGAGCGTGTCCTGTCTGGCCGTGCTGGGGTTTGCTGTAGTACGTGCAAGACGGGAAGGGAGGCTTCCAGGAGGACTGGAAGCCTGGTAATCCAAAGATTCCTCTTTTGCGAGGGCTCCTTATTTACCCTCTGCCACCAGGGTTCCTGTGATTTATTTTTTTTCCTGGTGAATTTGAACAATTAAAAAGTAAAGGATGAGAAACTGCGTATCTGGAAGGATCTGCCTGATCTGGCTGAACCTGCTCTAGCTGAAGGTGTCCCTGCTCACTGCAGGGGGTTGGACTAGATGAACTCTAAAGGTCCCTTCCAACCCAAACCGTTCTATGATCTGCCACTGAGGTTTTCTGGATCAGCCAGGAGCAGAGCTCCTTTTACTGCAGAAACAACCAGTTTTCTTCACCATGCGGATTTCAGACCATCTTCCTGTGGGAAGGAAAGGGCAGAAAGGTGACCCTACCCTTGAGACGTGTCAACTCACAGCTGGCCTAACGCGTTCCCAGGCTATCACCGGGCCGTTCCTCTCTCCAGGATCACACCAGCAGTCAGGCTGCAGTAACCTGAAGGACTGGGAAGAGGGCGTAAGCTTTCCCGAGGCCGTCCTCTGGGAGGCGGAGTCCCTGCCTTGCTGATGCCCAGCTCTGACTGTGACAGCAGCTCTAAAAATCACCGCGGTTAATACCAAAAAGCAGTTGGTCAATAGCAGCGCCCATAAGGCCTCAGCTGGAGGACTGTCCAGGTCTAGGCAACAGCCGTCAAAGACAGGTTCATACCAATTGTTGGCTGCTGGGGGGGGGGGGGAAGGGAGAAAATAAGCAGAGATTTAGAAAATGTGACTGAAGCGAAGTGAAGTTCATTTAATCTAAAAGAAAGGAAAAAAACCTAAGAGCTAAGTCCTCAGGAAAACAAAAGATGGTGGAAAAGACAAAGATTAAGCTGTTCTCCTTGTCCACAACAGAAGAGATTAGAGGTAATGGGTTTAAGCTGAAACAATGAAGATTGAGGTCGAACATTAGAAAAGTTGTTATTTGGGTGTTTAACTGTCCTGAGACATTATGTTGGGGAGACTTGGATTCCGTAAGGAGTGACTGGGGAACCTCTGGGTCTCTGAAGTCTTGTTTGCTACAGCAATATGGCAATGCCCTTGTTTTTCTCTTGGGTTGGTTGGTTTGGGATTATTTTTTTTTTAACCTCATTTACCGCTTTAAATTTAAATTTGCTGGCCAAAGAAACAGTGTATCTCTCAGATATTTTAGGAAATTATTATCATCTTCGTTGTACATTTTAGGGAGAAGATTAAAACCCAGATGCGAGAGGATATTCTGGGACCTGATCCCTGTTGATAGTTTTAAAAGTTGAGCACCCAATACTTGTACAGATTTAGCATGTAAAATGATTTGCCCAAAATCCTGCACAAAATCCCCAAGAGGACTGGTAATTCAACAAATCTGCTGATCCTCGGTTCAATTCTGTTGTCACAAAGTCAGGTGGATAAAGCCTGCAGTAGCGTTTCCTTCCTAGCTCCTTGGGGCAAGGGCAGAATTTTCAGGTTTTATTAACGTGCAGCATATGTTAGCCTGATGTTATGTATTAAATATCCTTTTTCCAGACTTCGGTTCGACTTTGTGATGTCTTCCCCTGAAATTGCTTCCCTTTCTTGGGGTCAGATGAAGGTGAAAGGCTGCTCTACAACGTACAAGGACTGCAAAGTATGGCCGGGAGGAAGCCGAACCTGGGATTGGCGAGAAACTGGGACTAATGTAAGTTTGGTGTTTACTGTCCATCCTGCATTTTAGACGGGACTCTGAGAACGGTCCAGAGAACAGTTGTTAAAGTTCCAGCCAGGCATCCAGCGAGCTGCCTCTTGCTTCCATCTGACCGTTAGACTTCTCCTGGGAAGAATGGAGCCACTGTTTCGGAAGCGACCGTGCGGAGAGGTCAGAGGACTGCAGGCACACAACGTCCGGCAGGTGACGGGGTGTAGCAACTGGTGCCACCAGTCCTCAGGGCTACCCTGAGCAGACCGCCCTCACGCACCTTGGAGCTCTGCAACAGCCTTCTGCGTTGGGTTAGGAGTGTAACCGTCATAAGATGCTTGTAGCAACCTCTTTCAGCCTGCCTGAACAAAAGTTGTCTTGAGCGAGATGGGAAGGTTAAAAACCGTTGGCAGTGACTGACCTTACAACAATGCGTGTGGTTTAGCTTGTATCTTCTTCCTTGGGGTCCCTTGTGCTTGTTTTAGAGGACAAATATGCAGATACAGTGTCATGTGCACTGGTTGCTCCACGAAAAGCTCACAGTCTAGCTAACAACGCGACGACTTTTCTTGGTCACCCTACACTAAGTGCTTGCCCTCACAATTTTTAAACTTTATCTGTAAATGTTATCAGAATTGTATAAAAGCACAGGAAACAGTATTGACGTTCTAGATTTAGAAGCAGCACAGTCCCTGTTGCATTAGGAACTTGATGTTAATTCTCCCCATATTAGGGCCAGCACCAGGATGGCTGGATTGGCTAGAAAAAAAAAACCAATTCCATACTTTCTAAGCAAAAATGAAAGCACAGAAGAACTGCATACTGACCAGGGCTTAGACCCAGCACCTGCAGCTGTAGCCACGCAGAGGATACAGCTCTGTTGAATTCATTTTGCCACAAGTGAAGCCTTAGTTTTGGAACTTCGTCTTTGAGGGAACCCAACTTTTTCAAGCTGTCAGGGTTCAGTTTCTACAGAGTATACAACACCAAGAGAAGGGTGGTGCTGTCATGCAAAGGTATCTGTACCTTGCGGAGAGGAAGATAGCTATATAGGTAACTTTTTAAAATGTATTTATGGTCTAACTATAAAAAATGACGTTTTCACTGGCTGTCCAGAGCGGGGCAGTTGTGTGGTGAGTCACTTTTTGTTTTTTAATATCGGTTCCCTGGTTTGTGTGCACATATGACTGGAGAAGCAGAACAGATACAGTAGCTGGAAAGTTCACAACTAGTTCCCAGCTCAATCACATTTTGATATTCATTCTGGCCCCCTTGAAAACTTTGGTTTCAAATTATAACCACCCCCTGGCACTTAAGAGGCTGCACTTTGCTTTTGAAGTTTCTAACGAGGGGTATCTTCAGGTGACAGGTAAAAGCTTTAAGTCCATAAAAGTCCTTACAGGAGTCCTCCAACTGAAACAAAAAAAATGAGTCTGTGTTAAATTAAAATCAGAGGAGAAAAAAAAAACCAAACCAGGTTGGGTTATTTGGAGAGATGGGTTTTCTGACATCCTTTTTATATCATCAGGAAGTTTTGGGGTTTGCTTTATATTGATCACTTGTAAAGCTCCCGCTTTAGGTCTGTTCTATCCCCTCTGCAGCTATGAGGAGTTGGGTGACTGGGTTTAAAAATGAATAGCCAGCGACAAATGTGAGAGCAGAACTAAGCTTTTCTAGACTGCATCTCCAACTCCAGAAGAATTATAAACCAGTGAATCCAGTCAGCACTGGGAACAGCAGGATTCACCAGATGCATTTTCTGCACGGTTCTGTACGGTAGACCACGGTGTGCTTACTGTCTTTGAGCATGATTTTGCTGCGGGGAGGTGGAGCTGAAGTTTGGCAAGCGAGCAGTGCCGGTCACGTCCCGCACTCTAGTTGGGAATAAATTGCTTCCTTTCCTTCTCTGCTATCAGACTGCTGGCTGGTACGTAATTCTTTCATTGGGAAAATTGTGTAACTGGCTCTGCAAGGTCCTGTAGCTGAACACTAGTAGTTCTTCTGGCCTTAACCCTTGGGGATGTGTCTTGGTTTGAAAGACAGGTGTC